TGTCTTATAATGTTACCTACCTACCTACCTACCTACCTACCTACCTACCTACCTACCTACCTACCTACCTACCTACCTACCTACCTACCTACCTACCTACCTACCTACCTACCTACCTACCTACCTACCTACCTACCTACCTACCTACCTACCTACCTACCTACCTACCTACCTACCTACCTACCTACCTACCTACCTACCTACCTACCTACCTACCTACCTACCTACCTACCTACCTACCTACCTACCTACCTACCTACCTACCTACCTACCTACCTACCTACCTACCTACCTACCTACCTACCTACCTACCTACCTACCTACCTACCTACCTACCTACCTACCTACCTACCTACCTACCTACCTACCTACCTACCTACCTACCTACCTACCTACCTACCTACCTACCTACCTACCTACCTACCTACCTACCTACCTACCTACCTACCTACCTACCTACCTACCTACCTACCTACCTACCTACCTACCTACCTACCTACCTACCTACCTACCTACCTACCTACCTACCTACCTACCTACCTACCTACCTACCTACCTACCTACCTACCTACCTACCTACCTACCTACCTACCTACCTACCTACCTACCTACCTACCTACCTACCTACCTACCTACCTACCTACCTACCTACCTACCTACTGCCTTTCTCCTTAACATCATTAAAAAAGAACATTTCAAAGTGTTACCCTAACATTTACCATCACTGTTACCATTTTTTTTAAAAGTAAACTTTTTTTAATTAAACAAATATTGTATTCAGAAAGGGTAATTGAGCGGAGCAGGCTCTTCCTGAATGGAAGCATGTTCTGTGGAGGGAGAGCGAGGGTCTGGGTCGTTTCCTCTGCTGGCAGAGGCATCATTAAAAAAGAACATTTCAAAGTGTTACCCTAACATTTACCATCACTGTTACCATTTTTTTTAAAAGTAAACTTTTTTTAATTAAACAAATATTGTATTCAGAAAGGGTAATTGAGCGGAGCAGGCTCTTCCTGAATGGAAGCATGTTCTGTGGAGGGAGAGCGAGGGTCTGGGTCGTTTCCTCTGCTGGCAGAGGGGAGAGCATGGATGGGTATTGGTGGCAAATCATTCAGAGAACTTGCCCAAGGACGAACTGTCTGTACAACTTGAAGGAGGAATAAGGGGAGAGCCCTTGCAAATTAGCCACCCTGGGCATCTCATAGGTGCCCAGGCTGAAGGTTTGACCATTGCCTTTGCAGATTGTCGATCTGGATCACAAGCGAAATCAAAACCGGGAGGCCCTGAGAGCGCTGAGCAAGGAGGCAGACTCTTTGGGTGAGCAATCCTCTTGCCAGTCCTTTATACTGAATTAGACCCTCTGCTTGGCTGCCACTTTCCCACGTCTCAGGCACAGGACTTTCTGCAGTTTTCTTAGCTGAGATCATTTTAACTGGCAGCACAAGAGGGGCTGCACATGAAATGCATTGCACGCAAATCTTCACTTTTGTCAGTGGCCAGGTTTGCTTTGTGCTGGAGGCTGTTGGAACCTTTTGTTTCCCAAAGATATGGTACGGGACCTGATCGCCCCATGCCCCAGGGGAGGAGAAATATTCTGGAAGTGTTCAGAGATACAGTTGTAAACAGCATCCCTGTAAATTGCCGTGATGAAGCCTCGGTTGCCCTTGGTAACGTGCCCTGTAGGTTTCTTAGAACAAACTATATATACAACTTTCTCCAAAGGAGTCCAGGGTTGCTTTTAAAAGGTCTTGCAACATGTGTTGTAATTTACACTAGGCTGACAGTTAAGGACTCTCCCGGGCTCACCTGGAAGAAATAAGAGATTTGAACTCTGTACTCTAGCCACTGCACCCTCGTGGCTTGTGCAGTTATGTGTGAAATTCAGTGTCAGAAATAATAATTGCCTGCCATCAAGTTGATTCTGACTTACGGCAACCTTTGCAGTGTTTTATCGGCACAGAGTACTCAGAAGTGGTTTGCCGTTCTCTTCTGGACGGGCTCTGAGACTGTGCAGTCAGCCCAAGGTTCTCTGGGTTGGTGGGTCTCTGGGAGGCACAGTGAGAATCAGATTTTGGGCTCTGCAGTCAGCTATGCAACTCACTGAACTACATCCTATAATGTTCAGGGGCTGTGCTTATTGTCTCTGTGATGAGTTTAGACCAGCCTTGAATTTAACTGGGATTTAATGCTACCCAGTGTGGAGATGTACATCTTTTTAAGCAGTTGAAGTAGAAACAAACTGATAATTCTGTGCCACATGCTAGTTCCATGTACTAGTCTGTGCTTGCCTTTTCACCTGTGGCCATGGGTGCCTTTCCAAGTGTGCTATGTGCCTCGCCCTGCTTAAGCCAGAAGATATCCAATGTAGTATAGTGGATAGAGTGATGAGCTAGGATTCAGGAGACCTGAGTGTGAAAATCAGCTGTGGAAAGTCACCCGGGGAATGGTCATAGTGGTAAAATCACTCCTTGAATATCTCCCTTCTCTTGAAAGCCCTCCTAGGGTCACTAAAGGTCAGTTTCCACATGATAGATCCACTTTAAGCCAGGACTCTTGTCATTGCTTCATAGTTCTGCAGCTCACTTCATGTGAAAGCTTGGCAGGCCTTCTAACAAGGATACCAGGCCTCTTTCCTTTTGGCTAGTTGGAGTAGGTGGGTTTCCCTGTACTTCTTAAATTTTGTTTGAATCAGTTGTGTGCGCGTTTGAGTAGCTCCTGTTTGCCCTGAAAGTTCTGAGATGGAATGAACTGGAAAAATCACCTCCATGCCTTGAGGTTTGATGCTGAGTCTCAGGAAACGTTCAGTCGACATTTGGTTCTTTGCTTGGCTCAGTTCATAGTAATTTGAACTTTTTTTTAAAAAAAAAAGGCCCAGCAATCATGTATAAAACCAAAGAAAAGAGAAGAAAACCCGTAGAATTTCTCTTCTGTGCCCAGTAGTCACTGCAGAGTAAACAACATCACTTTTTTTTTTTGCAGAATTATGACTGGTAGCAGCAGGGTCCTTAGTCTGATTCCATGGTTGAGATCATGAGTTCTTCAGTGTTGCCGGAAGCTATAGAACCCCTTCCTAAAAAGTTGTAAATGCATCAAATTCGTATAGGAAGCAGTGCCCTGTTTGTGGCATTCTGCAGTTGGTTACCCTAGTCCGTGTTTGCTTTCAGAATTGTGCTGATTGTTCTGTCCCTCTGGGTCTTACGCCTGCCCATCATAGCTGAATGTTCTGTGAACAGCAGCGCATAAAGTCGGGTGACTAATGTCTGCTGCAAGCGACAGCGGTGTCTCGTCTTCTCTCTGGGGGACAATTCAGCACAGCAAATTGTCTGGCATCCTTTACATACAGTGAGGCACTTTTTTTTTTTGCATTAATGAGGGCAAGGCAGAAACACAGGGGCCTGGCCTGTGACGGTTCCTGTAACTCTTGCACCAAGTTTTATCATAGGGACTTTGTCCGATAGGGATCTTACGTGATCTACCATACGTCTCCTGCACCTGTAGCCTGGAGTTGTGAGTTGTTTCTCCTCCCAACCTCTTGGTTTCATTCTTCTTCATCACCTGTGTTTGTGTGTGTTTAGTCGTTTAGTCGTGTCCGACTCTTCGTGACCCCATGGACCAGAGCACGCCAGGCCCTCCTGTCTTCTACTGCCTCCCGGAGTTGTGTCAATTTCATGTTGGTTGCTCTTCATCACCTATAACATCCTATTTTGTTATAGGTCTTCATCACCTATAACATCCTATTTTGTTCCAGTCACCCACTTAATGCTGGTTAGGATAACTATAGGGGATGTGTTGCTTGCAAGGTGTCATTGTAATGTAAGGGTTTAAAAAGGAGCCTTCTCTTTAAACATATGGTTGATGCTTTAAATACTGTCTTTTTTATTCCCTCCTCCCTATTGGGTGATACGCTTGTGGGTAGTAGGCTAACAGGACTACTCTTTCTAAATAATTTCCCTCCCTGATTTCAGACCCAGTCATGGTTTGCTTAGGGAACATGTTTGCACAGCTTCCTAAGAAGACGACTGAGGACATGTTGCAGAAAGGTAAGGTCCCAGTGATGTTTCCGCCACATGACTGCAAAGTTGATTGTGCTCAGCTGTGGGATACAGAGTCAGAACTTTTATGCAGTTGAATATGACCTCCCTGTGCCTTTGAAACATACACTGACTAAATGCCAAACAAATCACACTCAGCCAGCTTCCTTAGGATTCCAGAATATGGCTCAGCACCCGGTTTAGTATCTTGCCATTTTCAGTAACATGTTGGAGGAATTGCAGCTAAAATCCCCTTGACTTCTATGGTTTGGTCAGATCCTGCAGCTGCATTTCAGAACTCTTCTCTCGCAATTCTGAAAGCTTTCAACAAGCTTGGTGTGCTGTGAAATGAAAGCTGAGATGAGCAGGTTGCCTGCTTATGAGATAGTTGTCCCGAGGGGCTGAGAAAATAGATTACGGTGGCCAGCAGTCCCTTCTGTGCTCTTTGCCGTTCACTGTCAGCATTCTGGCATTCTCTGTCTCTCTCGAGGAGGATCTGAGCAGCCTGGCTAGGACTTACCCATGGCAATTCCACACATCATGGGGGGGATGTTATTTTGACACTGTATGTGAAGCTGGAGTGTCCTCTCCAGAGCACGAAAGAATTCCAAAAGATCTCCTGTATGGAGAATGAGTGCAGGGAAATTGCCCCAGAGGGAGACCACAGCTGTGATCCAAGGAGATCTGCAAGCGGGATCTGAAGGCCTTAGGAATGGACCTCAACCGATGGGAAACCTTGACCTCTGGAGGCAGGCGGTGCATCATGGCCTCTCCCATTTTGAATAAGAGCCCCTTGCCCAGCAGGCCGAAGCAAAGAGGCAGTCCCGAAACAAGCAAAACCAGGGAGCTGGACAGGGGACAAGATATGTATTTGTCCTCAGTGTGGAAGGGATGGTCACTCTCGAATTGGTCTTCTCAGCCACACTAGACGCTTTACCAAGACCTTCATACAGAGCACGTGACCATCTTTTGAGGCTGAAGGATGCCTCCAGTGGGGTGGATGTCTAGTGAGATGGTTGGAAAGCAGCACCTGTCCCAAAGAGACAGGACTGGTAGATGTACTTGTTGGCATAATGCAGTTTTGAAAAATAGGGGATGCCTTGTTTTTAAATTGCATTTCTGAGCACGTTGGCTTTCAGAATCCTGTTTACGGCCCTAGAATACCAAGTGTGCGCAGTGAGGGCCCTGCTGAGAAGATAAAGATAACTTCTGAGGCCTGAAAGGGCTGAAACAAATTAGCCACGTTGTGCCTGGCCCAAGGCCCCTCTTGCTCAGCAGGGAAGGGTCTGTCTTCCCCTCAGATATGCTGGTGAGGATGGCATTGAGAGAGAGAGATGAGCCCTGTCATGCAAGACAAATGTTAGCGTTTGGCGAGAAACTGCAAGATGAAGTAAGGAATCGTATGCAGTCAATAAGGATAGACGTTCTTGAATGAACCAGTGCGCTTTCTTCTTTCCCTCCCTTTCTTTTCCCTTCTTTCTTTACTTTTAGATATACATACAGACAGTACAGAAGTGTTTATTTATTTATTTTATTGGATTTCTATCCCGCCCATCTAGACCAAAGGCCTACTTTACTTCCCCCACCATACATCTTATCCCTTGCAATAAACGGACCAGTGTTTTAAAACACCTTAAATGACTTCTCATGACTTGTTTCCCCCGCCCCCCAGATCTGGAACTCCTGGATGAAGAAATAGCCAAACTGCGGAAAGAGCTAAAAGTGAAGGTCAACCGTCTGTTGGAAGCTCAAGGTATTTGTCAAAGAAGCTAGAACTGCCCAAGTGTGTTCTGGATATCATAGGGGACCTCAGAGTTCTGCAGTGGATCAGATGCGGAGCACCTGATCATCTGTGCAGGGCTTCTAGCCATATTGCCTTGCTAGAATATTTTTCCCCCTGCATCTCAGAGTCAGATTTCAATGAGTCGGCAAGGCTGAAAGTGGATGGGGTCCTTTCAGCTCTGCCCCAGGGGCCCCTTCCCCCCATCAGCCCCCCACCAAGACAGCCAAGGATCTTCCAGAGAGCCTTTTATTTAAGGTAGACCTCCTGCCCACATGAACTCTTCCAGGCACATATAATTGCACTTGATCCAGCCCATCCTTCATCTTCCCAACTATTGGCTCATTGGAGCCAAAGATTCATCTTCGGCTTTTGTGAATTCCTTGACATGCCTCACACACACACATACATACACGCACACGCACACTGATGGTGGCATGTTGAGACAATGGAGCTACCCCTCACAAAAGAGGAGCCCATGTATTCCCTCACTGACCACAGCGGGTAGACCCACATTATTCCATGGCAACTCAGCACTTCCTTCCTCTTTCCTAAGGTAAGCCGGAACTGAAAGGTTTTGATCTGAAACCCTTGAACACTGAAGAAATGTGGTTCATGAGAAAGGTAGTGGATGGCTGAAGAGGTCTCATTCTGTGGTCTCCTTTGCTGCTTCCTTGGATACAGCCTGACGAAGAACATCTCCCTATGCAAAAAGGCAGCTTCACTTGCAGAAAGGTGCTCCTGGAGCTGAGCATCTCTCCACTCGCATCTTTTGTGGGAGATGCCTGGGGAGCCGGTGACGTTCCTGCCACCTGGAGCAATGGGCTGAAGCATTCTGCAGCATTGACCACCTATGTGGAGCATGCATCAGACCTTGAGGAGCACAGCAGCTGTCATCAGTTTACAGTTTTGTCACTGCAATGTTGTCGTCGAATTCAGAGTGAAAGAAGCTTAGAACAAAATTGTAATTCCGCTCCGTTCTTGGCCATGAATGCATGTTTAAAACACATCTGGTTTTGTGATAATAAATTGACCACTCAAACCCAAAATGTGTGTGGTGAGTGATGGAGACTGTTCCCCTGTACAGTTTGCTTGCATTACAATTCGTTGTCCAGAGTCAGCAATTCTCATCTGTTAAACTCTGGGCACCAAGCCCAGAAAGCCATAACTGTCCTTTTGCCTAGCAGTCTTGTCTTCCTACATTGTGTGAAGAGTATCAGAGGCTTGTGCGAGGGGGCGGGGGGTGGAATCCAAATGGCACAGCTGAGAATGTTTGCCACATCCTTCAGCTCCAGCCAAACACCTGCTGGTGCTTTTGCACAGCTCCTTCCAGCTGAGCTCCGGGTGTCCAGTCTGGAGCTGTGGATGCTGGTCATTGATTTAAACTGAGATAATCAAAATCAGTGGGGATTTGGATTTTGCCAGCTCATGGTAGATCATCCTAGGAGATTCTATCAGAGAGTGTCTGTTTATATCAGTTGGGATGCAGGAGAAATCTAGAAATTAAAAAGTCCCCACTCAAAAGATCATTGGACATTGTGAACCCAGCTGATCTCTTTCGGTCTCAGCGTTGATACTTGCCATCCTCCCTCCCCAGACGGTCTCTTCCCAGACCCAACAAATTGCATGGATTTCATGTACAGGCAGCTTGCAACTTCTTCAGGTGACATTCGGTGGCACCTGTTTTTCTGAGGATCAAAATGTCTCATTTGGAGCAGCTGATAATCACACAGTCCTACCCCTGCACACATGTGGGAGAACGGCAGTCAATTCAGAGCCTGGAAGACCTTCTCCCCGGGGAATTGGGCTTTCTCGGGCTCTGTCTCATCTCTCAGTCCTGGGAAAGGCAGGTCATGGCCTCACAAATAAATCAACCCCTTGCAGTAGCACAGAGGCTGTGGTTTCAGCTGGAGGAGCAGTGTGTCTCCAGGGCTTCTGCGAAAGGGTGACCAGCCAAGCGTTTGTTTCGGTTTCTAATGTCCTTTGTTGGGGGAGGTAATATGTAGCCGTAGGACTGCATGCACCTTCCTCACCTGTTTACACAACCCACTATTGCAGAAGCCTCCAGAACAGTGAGCCAGCTTGAGCTCTCACAGCCCTTCTGCAATGTTTAAAATGCACATGCATTTTTTTTTCTGAACCAGTAGTAGAATGCTGGCCATTTTGTGTATTTCTTCTTCCCCGCTCCCTTCCAATTTTTGGCCCCTGGAAATGTCAAAGTTGCCCATCACTGCCCAATGCCCAACTGTAGGCGGCTTCCTAAGGATGCTGGCTGTGACATCTGGGGTATTTTTGTCTTCAGCACTTGTTGCTGTTAACAGGACCACTTGCTTAGACCGAGATCTCAGCCTTGCCTCTTCTGGTGTGCCACTACAGTACTTAAGAGATAGCCAGGAGAGCAGATGCCATGTGGACGAACAGGCCCTTCCTTGGCTGAGGACGTGGGATCTTGACAAGAGGTGGGTCTCCTCCTAGTGTCCGAGGGGGCCCATCTGAAGTGCCTCATTCATTCATTCCATTTATACCCCGCCTATCTGGTCATTGCGACCACTCTAGGCGGCTTACAACACAAAAAACAAAACAAGCATAAAAAAGGAATTCTCACAGAGTTAGAAAATTCAACAAGATGGGGAACAAACAAAATAAATCATAACAGAGAAAGAAGAAAAGAAAATCAGGAATTAACTAAGGGAGTTAACTGGGGGGGGGGGTAGAAGCCTGCCTGAACATCCACGTTTTTATTTGGTTTTTGAAAATACCCAGTGAGGGAGCCACGTGAATCTCTGGAGGCAGATTGTTCCAGAGGCGAGGAGCCACCGCCAAGAAGGCCCGGTTTCTTGTGAATCTCTCTCTCCCATGTGGGTTATATGTGAGCAAGATAGTTTGTTAAGATACATTAATGTGAACAGTTTACCATATTGCTTAACACTGCATCGTTGGTGCTAAATATTGTTAACAAACTTATTAATATGTCTGGTGTTCACTTAATCTTTAATGTTTTAAAGGAACTGTAAAGTTCATGGCATATTAATGTATTCAGTATTGTTTGGTTTACTGTGTCTGTTTTATTCACTGTATTGTGTTTACATATCGTGGATATCCTGGCGCACGATTAAACTAACTTTCTGAGCACGTACACCGACCCCTTGAGTCCAGAGAAGCTCTAGGCCACCTTGTGTTCTGGCTGCTCGTGCGACGGCTCTAGCCGGCCGTGTATCCTGAAATTTTCAAAATGACCGTGGACCTCAATATGTGTCGGAGCATTCAGAATGGCCGCTCATGGTGCGTGGGACTGCCACCGTTGGGGCCAGGTGGACCCGTGGATCAGCTTCCATAAATATTGAGACTAACCCAACAAGCAGCCGATGTTAATGGTCTGGTTCCTGCTGCACAGTTCACACTGATACTTCCTAGTTTTGCTTGTTTACAGAGAACAATGGGGTGGGGAGGGGAGTTATCTTGACTGTCCAAGGATCTGCTCATGCTTATCTGCCCAGACCTCCTCCAATGAGGACTCTCTTGCATGCTCTAAAAGGTTGCTGTTGCCCTAAGACATTTGTGTATTTCAGCATCATTCTGGATGCTATAACTGTGAGCATAGAAAACAGGGCACCGTTTTTTTGGACTGGTTGGAAGTCCCCGTCGCTTCTGTTTCTCCCCACCCCCACAACATCACGATGCAGCAGAAACCCACTGAGCAGGCTTCTGAGTTCTGTAAGTGAGGAGTTAGGTTTTTTTTTTTTAAAAAAAAATCCATGCTTACTGCAAAGGCAGTCTGGCAGGCAAGAAAGAGTGTTTGTGTGGGGGACACAACCTTCTACTGAGGCTTCCGTTGGGGTAAGAATATATGTACGATTGCTGGCATGGGCAGAGCAAAAATGGTGCTGCCCCCTTCCTCTCGCTCTATCTACTGCCACAGTCTATTTTGGGCTTGTCCAGGGGAGCAGCAGGATATCCTCCAGTGGGGCCCACTGTACAAAACCCGCGGTGCTCGGGCGCTCTCACCAAGCGCCTGGTCTCTCCTTGTGCTTGGCCTGCTTGTTACTCCAGTGATGTTCCTGAAGATCCCAGAAGCTATTTGCTGAGGCAGCACGGCTCACACACACACACACACACACATGCGCCTGCCCCATGTAGCTCTGCAACAGAAAGGAAGACCCTGCCCAGGGTTTCGACCATCTTTACGCAGCGCTCAGGGGTGAGGGTTACGCTTTCTGTTGTGTCTGAAAAGCCTTGAAAAGCTGCTTCAGATGTTTCTTCCTGTCATTGTTGTAGCCTGGAAAGACAACAATAACAAGGAGGGTCCTGTACATGGCTGGTCCAGAGCTACACCCACTAAGGACCCCCCCAAAAAATTGTGTGGTAGGGCTGAACACCTTATTGAGGAACAGTTCTGAGGAGCCGGGCAAGGGGGGCGGCTGCAAAAGTGACAGCCTCACGCAGGTTACCACAACTCTCTACACTGACAATATTCCCACCCTTGGTACGTAGCCAGCCAGCTGATTACCTAGATGTGTATTTGCTACAAAGCCATTCATGGGAGTATCCAGGTTGCCGTCTCCTCTGCTGACAGGACCGTCATTCCAGATAAGATCAAAGCCCCCAACACGCTTCTCCTTCCCCGTCAACCTGCAGGAGCAAAACAGAAACATCAGGAACTCACTTGCTCCATAATGGGTCATTTGTGGAAGCTTGAAGGCCCTTGTTCTAAGGGCCAGGTTTTTTTCCAGCTAGGTTGCACTCTGAGCCTGCATGGCCTCACTCTGTAAAGGGTATATGATGTCTGATGCTGAAGGTTGGAGGTAACAAACTTGGAGGGCTCCGAAGCTGAGCTTGTCCTCTTCCCTCCATGCCCTGCTTGTCTGTTTTGCCACTTAGCTCCCTTCTTGACCTCCCGGATGGACTGGTTTCTTCCATCTCTCTGCAACCTTGGGTACCACTCAAGGCCATGTCAGCATAACAGCCTGGGAAGACCGCTGTGGGCCAAGTATTTATGGATTTCTTCGCCTTCGATCTACACCGCAAGAATGTGGAGAACAGAATTGGCGTTGCACTCAATATGGCTCCAGGACTGCCGTTGGCGAGAAGAGTTTCCTTTATCTTTCAGGGGTGTGTGGCTATTTTGCATGATCCCTACACTGGCTATCCAACCAAGGATGCAGAAGACTGCTTTTGAAGGAAGGGCCACTGTCCAAAACAGACGGGTTCACTGGGTTTCCTGACATGTTGTGCCTTTCTGGAACGTTAACTACTGGAAACCCTCTGGTGGGAGTACATAAGGAAGAGAAAGTTAGTGTTGGTAGGAAAACGAAGAGGCCCGTGCAAGAACAGGGGCTTCCTGTGAGAGAGGCTGAGCCCCATCCTGCTCACCCCAGAGGACGGGGCGGTCACCCCTGGAAGAAAAGAACATGGTCACAAGAGATGGGAACCCCATCCTGCGATCTGGTGCTTTGGGTCGAGTTCACCGCCTAAGGACAGAGCTTGAAATGCCCACGAGTCAAGGAGCAAGGCTCCGTGAGAGCCCGACGCAGAGTGTGCTTGCATGCTTTACACATCTCCTCCATTCATCGACACAAGTTCCTTTTTGTACCCGATGGCAGATGGGAAATGTTGAACAGAAGGAAAAGCACGCCGTGCACCCGTACGGCTATGTGCCACCCTTTGCTCACCTGCCCTCCATGTCCACGATGTGGAGCGTGTCCTCCAGCAGGTGGGTCTTGAGTTCATAGTCTTCCTGGCTGCTAGCCGTGAGGGAGGGGGATGCGTTCACCTCCAGCAGCCACCTGCCCACCAAAGGAGGAACAGAACATCAGGGACAGGAAGCAACCACGCTGCCCACCTGCTTAAGAAGCCTGCAGCTAAGGAGTAAGTGAGCTTGGACTTTGGGGGGGGGGGTTTCTCTGCCGTAACAGATCCTTACAGAGTTTGTGGTGGGGTTTGGCATGCAGCTGAGACTTCCATTGTCTCTCTTGGATGTCTTCAGTTACAAAAAAAGGCTAGCAGGCATTATTTGGCATCAGCTTTAATGGACGGTAGTCCACACCATCCCATGCATAGGGTTACAGTCTGTGAAAGCTTATCCCACGTCAAATGCATTATCCTTGGAAGTGCCCACACCCCCCGACTTTTTGCTGCTAGTCCCTGCTATTATAGGAGATTTGTCTCCAGATCCTGACCAGCCAACCCACCCGCTTCTGAATCACCCTGCTCAGCATTCGGTTTCTTAGGCACAACAGGATGGCAGAACTCCAGGGAGTTTTACCTCTAGAGGTCAACAGATTCCTGCCTAGGACTTCTTTGACAAATAACCAAGAAATAAACAAAGGAACCACATAGTGAAAGGTGCCTCTATTCTGATCCAAATGGTCAGCTCTGTAGACAGCAGGCAAAAACCCCAAAAACAAACCTGGCCCCAGCTGCTGCTCCAGGCCAGGGGCCACTTGGCCCCTGCATGATCAAATCCTTTTCAATGGAGTAGTCCCCCCCCCGGCCAAGGGTGAGGGCACTGGAGCAATGCAGACAAGCCACCGAGGGCGTTCACTGAACCAGCCGCCACGGGGCCACAAGGGAGAGGGAGGGGGTGAAGAGGGGGAATGAAGGAGGGGACCCCACTGGCCACCTCCCGAGGGAGCGCAGCAGGTCCCCATCTGGGGGTGCCAGAGTCCTGCGTAGAGAAAGGGGCTGGCAAGGAGGCCAGAAAAGGGGCATTTCCAACCCAGCATCTCTCCGTTTGGGGACCCTGGACGGCAATGCCAAGAATCCAATTCATGTGAGATTTACTTCTACCTCTATCCAGCATTTACCCCCTACTAGCAAAAGTAGGAAATCAAAGGGTTCAAACTTCAGGGCACCTCCTAAAGGACCCCTGGTATTTGCCTTGGTATTGCCCTGTAATTTACTCTTTTCTCTCTTTTGGGGGGGGGGAGAGAAAAGGCAGGTAGGCAGGCAGGCTACCACAACAACTAGATGAGCATCTACTTGGATGTAAGCCCCACTGAAGTCACTGAGAGTTTGAACCTCTGAGCATATCTGTGGAAGCTTGGACTGTGATGTTCGTAGCAAATTTGTGCCCAAAATGCTGCCTCTTTCATTGCATGCCTGACAGCTGCACTGATTCTATCAGTAGGTTTCTTGCCATCCATGCGGCGTGATGCTTATCTCGCTCAATTCAGTAACTTTCCACTGACTTCCTGTAACATTCTATAGCAGCCGAGAGCAGGTGTTATTTTTAGTTTCACTTTGTTGGGTGGAGTTTAGCATCATGGTTGTTTTGAAATTGATCTGGTGAGAGTTGTCTAGTCTGTTGTTTTGAAATTGATCTGGTGAGAGTTGTCTAGTCAGGAAATTTCTGTTTAACATAAAAACAAACACGGTCCAGAAGAGGAACTCCATCAGAGAAATGAAGTCCCTTTACTATGTTTAAAACAATGTTTAAAGTTCTCCTAAGGGAAAGAGGTTTTTGGATACAAATCCTGGCAAACTCGGTGTGCCTTTGCGACCAAGTGAGGAAAAAGGGAGTGGGATTTTCCTCCATGCAGAAGAAACCCTGACGTCACTATGTGGCCCAGGTTCCATTCTGATCAAGTATCGACAATACTTCTTTTCAACTAAGGTTTTGGAATTAATATTATGCTTGTTCACCTCCTCTTTCATTACATTGTATTTCAACCAGAGGCAGCCTTTGAGGCTGTTAATGGGAACTCTTCTTGTGCAGAAAACAATGAAGTTTTGTAGCACCTTAAGTTAGTGTAACTTTTAAACGCCTTTTTATCAATAATTGTTTTTTAAAAATCAGGTATTTTAAATTGGTTTTAACTACTTGAACTGATGGTATTTCTAACATTCTTTAAGGTTTGTTGTTGTTTAGTTGTTTAGTTGTGTCCGACTCCTCGTGACCCCATGGACCAGAGCATGCTAGGCCCTCCTGTCTCCCACTGCCTCCCGGAGAGTTGGGACAAATTCATGTTGGTTGCTTCGATGACATTGTCCAACTATCTCATCCTCTGTCGTCCCCTTCTCCTCTTGCCCTCACACTTTCCTAACATCAAGGTCTTTTCCAAGGATTCTTTTCTTCTCATGAGATGGCCAAAGTATTGGAGCCTCAGCTTCAGGATCTGTCCTTCCAGTGAGCACTCAGGGTTAATTTCCTTCAGAACGGATAGGTTTATTCTTGCAGTCCAGGGGACTCTCAAGAATCTCCTCCAGCACCACAATTCAAAAGCATCCATTCTTCGGCGGTCAGCTTTCTTTATGGTCCAGCTCTCACTTCCACATATCACTACTGGAAAAACCATAGCTTTGACTATGCGGACCTTTGTTGGCAAGGTGATGTCTCTGCTTTTTAAGATGCTGTCAAGGTTTGTCATCACTTTCCTCCCAAGAAGCAGGCGTCTTTTAATTTTGTGGCTGCTGTCTCCATCTGCA